GAGAATAATGCTAATATCAAATTTTTATTTAATAAGATATTAAAATAAGTCATCAGAGTGCAATCATCAATGAAGGTGACAACTGCTATAGCTTCATAAATATTGGAGATTTTAGATCCCTAAATATTAAAGTAGATAATTAGAAAAGGAGTAAATAATCTAGAATCGTTGTCAAGAAAAAATACTACAAAGATATTTGGCAATTTCATAAGTCTCACAAAGAAAATATTTCAAGTTTATACAACAACAACAACAACATCAAGCCTTTATCCCACTACGTGGGGTCGGCTACATGAATCCTTTTTCTCCATTTTGTCCTATTAAAAGTCAAATTCTCGTTTAAATCTAATAAAGAAAGGTCATGATGCGGACATCAAACCGTCCATGCCTATCCGAGGAGGAGCTGAAGATCGACGGCCGAGATCCCTTCATTTTATCTTATTTTATTAATTGTAATTTTTATTTAATTATGCATTTTTCTTTTTACCCTTACTTAAGGGATTTGTTTTATGTAAGCCCAAGGGGCAAAATTGTCTTTTAGTTTCTTTTAAGGCCTATATATAGAGTTCTTTGCTCTTGTATTAGAAGATGATGGATTATTAATAAAAAAAAAAATTGCGTTTTGCACTTGGGTTCTTTGGGAAGAACGTTAGTGAAATCCCTATGGGAGGGAGTCGGAGTTTCCACCAGCCGCAGGATGGGTCCGGGCTCGTGGCGTGAAGTCCCTTGGAGAAGGGCAATGTAGTACCCGTCAGCCGCAGGATGTGTCCGGGCTCGCGGTTGTATCTTTAATTTTTTTGTCTCTTATTTTTTGTTTGTTCCCTCTTATTTCTTCTCGTCGTTATCTTCATCCTCTTCACCGTCCCCCTCCTTCCGGCCATCCCCACCACCACCCCCATAGCCCCTCCTCCTCTTTTCCATTGCGTAATTAAGAGCCAATTAATGCTCCTGATTAACTCCCTCATTAACTCAAAATTTTTCCCTCCACAAATCCCTCATTTCAAATTCAAAACATTTTGAATCTTGAAATCTTTCCTAAATTAGCGAATCTATTTTAGGAAAGTTTCTTAAGTTGACAATATTTGAATTCAATTTCAAATAGAGTGACTTAATTAATTTCCTAAGTCTAAAACTATTTTAGGCAAGCTTGCACACATGGCACCAAACCCAAATTTCACCCAAGCATGCCGCCGGCCCCTTTAGAGAAGGCTTAGGATTTATTTCCTAATTCCTGTTAAGCTTCATTTGGAAACTTTTCCAAAATTCAGCTACATCTCTTACCCGACTCTGAATAATTTCCTGCTTAATTAATTCCCAAAGAAAGCCCCTTCAATTGGGAATTAATTTGAAGACCTCTCCTATTATTGCCGGCCTCCAGGAATTCTTTCCATATTGCTAGTTGTTCTCTTGGAAAGAAATCAATATCCTCCACCTCTATTGGCTGAGTTTCCCTCAGCCCCCACGTCTTTAATCTTTCCAAATTCCCTTATACTAATTTGGAATCGAGCCCATCTTTCACTTTCTCCTGCTGGCCGAAACCTTCCCTGACCCGTGTGCTAACTTCCCTCCACTGATCTCTCTCCAAACTCCATTGGACATTGAGTATTCTGCCTTCTAAGGTTTCAGCCAGGGAATTCCAGCAACTGTCATTGTTCTTCCAGCAACTTGAAGCTTCCAAGCTGCTGCTTTACCAAATCAAACTGCTGTCCAGCAGTTTCCGCTGGACTATTTTCATTACAGCACCGTTGAAGAAATCTCTCCTTGTCATACAACCCTTCACAAAGTCTGGACTGAAGCCAGACTTTTCCTCCCAATTCCCTTTGCTCCTAAGCCTAGATTCTTGGGAATTCGCTCAGATTTTGGCTGCTGAAGCTTGAGCCTGCTGCTGGATTGCTGAAGTTCCTCTCAGATTTTGGTAGGAAAATCTGAACTGTTTCAGGTTTCCTGAAAAGAACTGTGTCAGATATTGCCATCCCACCCGTTCTACATCAGGTCATTCCTAATATTTTATAACCAAGTCTTTTTAGCTCTACCCCTACCTTTCTTAACACAAGTCAAATCTAATACCTCTACTCTCCTAACCGGGTCATCGGAAGGCCGCCTTTTTATGTAACCAAACCATCTAAGGCGACTCTCTCTAATCTTATCTTCTACTAGAGCTACTCCAACCTTTTCACGTATATGCTCATTTCGTATCCTATCTCTAAGGGTAAAGAAAGAAAGATTTATATCCTCTATGTTTGAACACAAGTAATAGCTCCTGCATACAAATCTTTAATGATTTGAATATAAGCATTATTGACTCCTTTTCCCTTAAGCATAATGACATTTCAAGTTTATATTAAGAAAAAAAAAAGAGAATAAAATATAAATTGTAGAGTTTAGAAAAAAAGTTGTCCTAAAATTATAAGATATTCAACATGGCTTCTATGCTAAGGGTGGAAATGAAGGAACATATCAAGTGATTTTCATCGTCAACAAGATATAACTCATCCTTTATCTAGCTTGCTCAGTCATCTCCTCAGTAGCGAGGTCCTAAAATACACATTAAGTAACAAAAAGGTTATCTTGCAATTATGGTCTTTAGTTATTTCATAAATTGATAGAATATTTATTATAATTTGGGAAACATGCAGTTCATTATTTAGAGTAAATGTGGAGGAAATTGAAACATTTTTTTTACCTGCAAAAGCAGTGAGAATACCATTAAGCACTTCATTTTTCTATTATCGAGAAAGGAAATGTAGATTTGAAAAAGGTTGGCAAGCTTGGTCATATAATCAGTAGCTTCTAAATCTAGAGTCCATGTGTAGGAAGAATTATTTGGAGTACTTAAAAATAAAATAATTAGAAGTCATATCATTTTGAGCTAAATAACATGATTCGGTCGATATTTCCAAAGACTTAAGAAAGTTCATAAGTTTATTAATGTTTTCTAGATTGAGAACTTTTGGTTCAACAATGGAGGCCTACCCCTTTTTTGTGACCTTTATTCCACCATAGTTTGGTGGCTTTTAATGGAGTTTCCAATATTTTTCTTTAACATATCATTTCTTCTTGCAGTAATTGTACCCTCGATTATTTTTGGAAGAAGGCTTTTGCACTACTTTAAGAAAAGAGTCTACAGCAATAAATTCCTTACCTTTAGAGTTCAGTAGTTGTCGTCACAAATGTTTCAAAGACCAAAACATCAAGTAATATCGTCCTTCTTCAGCTCGTAGGAGAGAAAAAATCTTATTTAATGAAGGTAGGTTTTCTCTACTTGAGATTTGGATAAGAACTTAGTTGAAATCATTATTAACTCATACAAAGAACACATACACCCTTTCTCTTTTTTACAAATTGCCTGAGAATCATAGATCATCATAACATGTCATCTTGATATCATGGTAATAATCCAATTTGAGTCCATAAACCTTCATTGCATTAAAGTACTCAATAACAAAAAGATTATCTTGTTTGATTGTTGAAATTTTAGTTTTGATCTCGTAGATGAGGAAATCATCCTTCACTTTTAAATACATTTATTTGATAGCGCCCCAATCTTTTTATCATAGAGAAGGACATATATAGCCCACTGATTTCAAGCATCTTGTTATTCCACAGTTATGTCATGACCATGAAATTCGCTTATCTCGAAGTATAAATTTTGAGTCTTCTGACTGCAAAGGATGGATCCATAATATGATGGATCTTTCTCTTTACTTTTGGAAGTGTCTTCACAAATTGGGACCACTTTAGATACATTTTTTTCATTTAAGCAATATAAAGCTTATAGCTTCTGGAGCTCTCCTGTAGTCTAATTTTTACTAGTTATGATTGTTGACTCCATAGATAAGGAGTCAAAGAAACCAACACTAACAAATAGAAGGAAGAATCTTGACAAAAAAGGAAAAAGGGAAAAAAATGTGGAAAGACAAAAACACTACCCTCACTCTGATACTATCTAGAAATATTAAAAAGTAGAAAAAAAAACTACTTTTAAAGTTTATTGCTTGATTTTGTACGAAGTATGAAGGTATTTATAGACTTCTCAAAAAGGCTCGCAATAAAAATAAATTAAAGCTATTTACAAAAAAAGAAAAAAAAATCCCAACAGGGGCTAGCGGCTATAATAAAAAAAGTAGGCATATGGATTGAAATCTAAGGATCATAAAAGGATTAATCCAAGTGTTAGAACTATTCCGCATGCTCAAAAATCTCTATCTTAATTGGTTAACTTGGGGGTCTCATGATCCATCAACAAATAAATTTTGTTAATACAACTACAAACAGGAAAAATCACACTAATATGATTTGCGCAAATTACAACGATTAAAAAGGCGGAAGAGGCGTACGCACTGAGACGCGACTCAAGGCGAGGCGAAGCATTTGCGCGTTGAGGCTTACGCCTCGTTGGATTCGGCGGAGCGTGTGCTTATTTCGCACAGGGCGTAGGCTTCGGTTCATAACGCCTCATTATCTTAAAACAAATCTTCAAATTCATAGTTGACATAATATTTTGTTATTTTTTGTCATTATTTATAATTTTAAATTAATTTATTTTAATCGTTTTGAGGCTTACGCCTCGATCCGCCTCGAGGCTTACGCCTCGCCTCGTTTAGAAAAAACGCCTCGATTCCCGATTTCGCCTTTTAAAACCTTGGTGCAAAACAACTGATGTTTAGATTGGGTGGAAACAACATTCTGCTGAAAAAAAAAAAACAGGAAGTTGGAACCTTAATATTGACTCTTACATCAAAAGTCAAGAGCTCACAAATCTCTTTACAAAACTAGGATATGCTCAAACTTAGTTTATTGTGCTCAAATATTCCTATAACGCATATAAATCTAACATAGAATGGAAAAAAGGCTCCTTAGAGATACATGTTTACTTCATTACTAGACAGCGTAAAAATAAACTATTGTAATTGCTCTTCTTTTTTTCCTTTTTCTTTTTTTGAGCTGTGCCGATTTTCCTCTTTTAAACATCAGTGTAAATAAAAGTTCTCAAGGGATACCTTATTCATGCTCCACTCATGCTGAGGAACATGCACTAGAAGCCATAACCACATCTTGGAGGCAGAAACATTTACCCAATAGTCAAATCCCAATCCGCCTTGACTAGTTGGTTCACATAATCCAGGATACAATGTTGCCTGTACGAAGGAAAACTAAAGCCAATTCAAAGAAAGCTATGCATAGATACAAGTTATATATTTAGTTCACGATGTAGATAAGTGGGATTGAAAAACAATTATTGTAGATACAAGAATCCAGCAAAGTTGTCAGACCCAACACCAAATGGTTTAAGAACCAGCAGAAATAGAAAATCATGACTGATAAATAATCCAGTACATCAAAGGTTTTGACAAAATAAACAACCACAAATTTTATCTAACAAAAAGATGCAAATTTTTTAAATTGAAATAAAAATTTCATAAAATAAAAAAGGCATCAATAAATCAAGGAAAAAATAATCAAGGTGCTTCAATTATTTACTAAGATTTACATCTAGTAACATGATCAACTTTAAGGATCAATTCTTACAAACTATGCCACTACTGCTCACAGAGAAAAATTCGCTTACACACTATTACCAAAACACCAAGTTAGGTTTGATGAACACAATGATGTTTGGATTATAAGTTAATATTGCCTATAATAAAAAAAATTAAGCGTTTGTCCACAACTAGGAGTAGATAAATTCTTTTCTGTAATTTTCTATGACCACTATTTCAATCAGTTGAAATTTATAGGTACAAGCAGAAGGATCTACACTAGGAATGCATAAAAGAACGCAAAATCTAGTTTTTTTGGTTTAGAGTTGTTTGAAAGTCAATATTACCATATATCTGTGCTATCTACAAAATCTCATAAGTTTGGTTCAATGTCATCTTTGAATTCCAATATACTAGCAGTAAGATCATTCTCATAAATATATGTATCTTATAAATAATATATATAAGAGAGAGAGAGAGAGAGAGAGAAACACACATACAAAAATACCCATGCATGCATACACACAATGAACGCTATAAAGACACACCACTTGTGTAAGCCAACCAGCCCATTGTTGCCAGCACAACAATATTTTCAATTTAAAACAAATTAGTTAAGCATTTTGACTTGATGAACATGTTTCAAATTAAAAATTCAATCATATGTTATCAATGTCATTAAAGGCATGTGCTATGTCCTTCCTATTTTAGGATAATAAGCTCCAAATCCCCATAAAAATGCACAAGTATCTATTAAATTATACAAGAAAGGCCAGATAACGTAATTTATCATAAACAGTGTGGAAATATCAGGTTGGTGATGTAGGCGAGGGGGGGTGAGATGAAATTTTTTTAAGTTCTACTAGAGTCAGCTCATTAATGAGCCTCTTCTTATTATTCACCTCATAATTTGTGTATTTATTGCCAAATAGATTCGTTCCCCCTCCTTTATTCCCCTCTCTAAAGACTCTTTGGTTTCCCCACTCATGTCTCTTCCCCTTCTTGAGTCTCTTTGATTTCCTCAAAGGAATTAAGGCATTGGGTTGCTTGCTATTTTCGGTTTCTGCTGTCTGTTGCTGTTCCCATGGTCCTCCCTCTCGGTTTTCCCCTCCTGACTGCTTTTCCCGTGAAATGCTGCCTTGTCTTCTTAGTTGGCTCTTCGGGTCCCTTGCTGGCTGGTTTCTCGTGGCTACTGGTGGGGTTTTCCGTGATTTGCTTCCCTGTTTTCTGTACATAATTTTTGTTGGCTGTTATGTGTCTTTTGGCCTTTCATTTCCCTCTTTTTAATTGAGATATTTAATGTGTTTTGGTGGCTGTTTGCCTCCCCTTTCTTCCTATATATAGGGGCTGTTTTGAGGCTTAAAAAGGATAGTTATGTGTTGATTTTTGGAAAGAAACCTGAGGATTTTTCTTGGATAGCTTGCTAGCTATGCCACTTCTTCCTCTCCTTGTCTAGGAAAGCTTGCGAGCATCTCCTCCTTCGTCTCGATTTCTTATATTGTTCGTCTCTCCGCAAGTGACCACCCCACATGTATCCTTCTTCTCAAAGCAACGGATGGAATGCAACTTTAGGTGTTTAATGTTATATCAAAGTTTGTAAGTTGTTTGTGTTGTTTGTAAGTCTTTTATTAAATTATAAAAGTAAATTATAAAAGTGACTTTTTGAGTATTTTTTGTATTTTCTATTACCTAGGAAAGTTTTATTTTATTACCTAGGAAAGTTTTATTTTGCTTTCAAAAAATTAGGGAGTTATCCTAATTTTTTGCTCGCATCAGTTGGCCTTCTGATTGGCAGAGATACTGGCAGTTTTTATGACTAATACAAACATTCCAGCGTAAGATTAATGTAAGCTCAAACACAAGATATAAGCAAAACAAAAGAGCCAAGAAAGAAAAGATAGCTTACATCCTCAGCTATAGTTATAATGTTTGGATGAACTTCATGGAGCATCTCATTTGCCAAAATTAGATAGATTAAAGCATCTTTATCAACATATTGGTTGCAATACCTATTAAGAAAAAGGCCACTCAATGTTACAGATGCATGAAAGCATTACATAAGTGATACTATATAACAGGAGACACCAGAAAAATATACATTAAAAAAAGTAAAAAAGCCAAAGCAGACGATGTACTTATGTAGAAGCACTAATAGGTGATTAAAGTAAAACAAATTATACTGATAATCAAAAACAGTTAAAAAATATAAAAGCATTTCCATAGAAAAAAATTCTGGAAGACGTTTTTGTTAAATAAAAAAGTTTTCCACCATGAAATGTGCCTGAAAACCAAACCACGTGACATTTTAACCCTTATTATCGCTATCATTATCAGTATTATTATTATTATTATTAAGATTATTCTTCTTATTATTATTATTATTGCAAGGTGCGTGGCTTCTATGAGAGGAAGACAAGGTGTGTGGCTTCTCATGCAATAAAGACAAGGCAGGCGGCTGTTGTGTGGCTTTTCGAGGAAGCCAAGGTGGCATGCAGTGTGTGATGCCTTAGCCAAGCCAGATCAAGACTAAGCAGTTGTTGTGTAGCCAAGATCGTGCAGCTGCTGAGTACACGTTGGCAAGACCGTGCAGTCAAGATGAGGAATGAATAAACAAATAAATCAATATTAAATTTAAATTAATAAATTATCAAATTTCTATTAATGCTACAAACAAAACTATTAAAAAATGATTAAATTTAAAATACCTTCCCCCGCCTTACAGCTCTACGTAGTGGATATATCTCATATAATATTATGTAGTCCCTATTTATGGGATAGAAATAATATCTTCCTTAGAAAACAATAAAAATTATCTTGCACACACAGAGAGGACTACCTAACGCAACCCTCCACTTTTCTCATCCAGGACTTGGGACCTGGCAACGGCAGTGTTAATGAGAACACCAAACTAGAGGAGAGAGAGGGAGAGAGAGAACATAGAGTTTGTCAATCCACTTTTCCATTTTTAAATGAGAACACCAAACTAGAGGATTCCAAAAATAATTCTAGAGCCCTTTTCCTGATGAAAATAAAAACGTAATCCTAGTTGTTGATCAACAAGCATCAAAAGATGAAAAACAAATTATAGTAGCCTGCTAAAAAGGCGTTAGATTGGCTATTGGGAGGAAGAAATGAAAGAATAGGTTCCAAAAATGGAAGAAAATGAGCTCTTATGTGCACGAAAAAAAAATGATAAAATGCGGAGTTGTGACCAAAGATGATCTCAAAAAAATTTCGAATATCGACTTTACAAGAATAAATTTACAAATATAAATGAAGGTTCGACTAACTTGCAAATTTGCATTTAAAAATTAAAAAGGAGGGTTGGCCAAGAAGAGAGAGGAAAGAAGCTCAATTGGATTTAATAAAGGAATCTATACAAAATTCACTCCATTTTCTCCTTATCCTTAATGATTGGCCACACTAGGAGAAATCCAATAGAATCTTCCCTTGACTTAAGTTATGGCTATCTTCATTTTCTTATTTTAAACAATTAGACAAGATTACATCCTACAAAAGAGCTTCAAAAGGTTAAGGCAATGCATAATTTAAATGGAAGAAAGATTACATTTTGTTAGAATCATGGATAGATATAGATTGACTCCTGCTTTTTAATAAATAAGAAGCCTTATGATATAACACTTAAGTTGATATCTACATAAATTAAATGCCACCATGTTTTGTCTCTTACGGTTTGGTTTAAGATGCCCCATTAAGCTCTCCCTTTTCCTTTGGCATGAATTTTAAGGGGCAGACAAACTGTTAAAAATCCTAATGCATGATTTCCAAAGTAGGCTAGCAATGCTCTCTCTCATGAGAAGATTCCATCATTCTCAATTCCTGCTCAGAAAACCTAATCCCCTGTCCTTGATAATTCCTTCTGGTTCCAATACCTCAAGTTGCAACTTCGAAAGAAGTTTTTTATTTATATATATATAGACGTAAGGGTATAAAGGGAAAAACAATAATATGATATAAGCCAGTACATCAAAATAACTGAAGATCGTAGTCGTTGAACTTTGATGTCCTCATCAGAAGGATAATAAGTAAATCGTGTACATGCATTAAAGATTTACGAAGTCCGTATTTTTTCCATAATCTTATGAAATGCACAGACTGGAAGTATTTTAGATTAATTGACATATTTGTATAATATGCATATAATATGCAAATTTTCTTAGAACAGCATAGAAATACGGTTATCCTTATAAGTTTGTCTCGACTAGAAGGAACATCCATCTAAAACATTCTTTTTTTATGGGATGCATTGTCCACATCAAACAGTCATTTTTGTGATGATCTGAATTAGACAGACAAGACAAGATCAGAATCCTTCATCCTCTTTCGTTTGCTCCAAATCTCAACAAGAAAACCCCATTAAGGCAACGTAGATGATCCACAGTTGTGCAAACAGTTTGCTATTTAAAAAAAAATAATAAGGCGTAATAAAATGATTTAGGGAAAGATCTTTCAATTCCTCTTTCTAGTTACAACCTAACACGCAAAGGTAAAATGGATTACGCATAACTTTGAAAAGTACATAGCAAGTCAGCTGCACACATTTCTTGGGTAACATATATAGGGTGGGCCTTCTTCTGACATGTTCAGATATAAAAGAGAATATTCAATTTGGTGAATATCAGTAGAGATTATTACAATTAATTTTCATTGTATCAAAAGGCAGATAAAGCACTTACTCCTCCACTTGACCAGAAAAAGTTGCAAACCCATTATGTGTATACATCATTGATGGCAGGGAGTGGAAATTGAAGCCATCAATCAGGTATTCGGTGACCCACCTATAAAAATTCCATCCAAAAATTTCTTGAATCTCTAAAAATAATAAACCGTGAAGAAGGACAGTAGGTAGATTATGCTTGGGGTTGGAGGGATAAGTGATAATTCGACACCATTCAGAAAAAAAAAAAGGGGGATGAAGAGAATACCACTTCAAATTTGATAAAAGAAAGTGTAAAACATCAACATCACCATATTTGTATATTCTTGTGCCCCAATGTTTATGATGACCACGTTTACCTGTTCAAGTAAAACAAAGGCTTGAAAGTTTTATATAATCCCCTAAAGAAATAAATATTTTGTATAATTGAAGTAATCCACAAATAATCCCCAGCTAAAGAAGGAAAACCTGTCCCTATTCAAATGTTATTAATATTGAAAATAATTCAGTAAGGTTTAAAAGAGCAGTAACTTTAATTATGGATATGTAAGTTATATACCCTTTTTTCAATAACATAATATCGTGCATATCTTCAGGACACTGTAGCAATCCCTATGAAATTCTGTAAAATATGTTAATTATCTTTAAGTTGGGAATTAAATTTATGTTTATGTTAGATGATAAACACAAAATTGACATTTTAAAATCCAAGATAAAAGTTGAAAGTTAATCTCTGTTTGGCAAAGTGTAGGCAAGGGGGGGTCAATTCATCTTGATCCTCTTGTCCTTGGGCTGCTTGCTGTTCTCAGATTGTGGTTGTTTGCTGCTCTCGGATTGGGCTTAAAAATTTGGTATCAGAGCGGGTTAGCAAATCTCGGTTTGTTGTGTGAGTCTTGTTATCAAGTGATTTAAGTTTTGTTGAGTCTTTTTTAGAAAAATGGAAAATCACAAAAACATTGATTCAGTCATAGAAGAAAGCAATCCAAAAGATCTTGAAGTCCCTCTTCCAATGGATAGATGGGTTCCGACAGATGGAGATTCAACAGACCCAATTCAAAATGAACTTTACAAGATACAACGATGGATGGTTATGTGCTGATTTTTGGAAAGAAACCTGAGGGTTTTTCTTGGTTGGATGTCCGCATCAGTAGGAAAGGGGGGGTCAATTCATCTTGATCCTCTTGTCCTTGGGCTGCTTGCTGTTCTCAGAATGTGGTTGTTTGCTGCTCTCGGATTGGGCTTTGGTTGCTTGGTGTTGAGCTTAAAAAATTGGTATCATAGCGGGTTAGCAAATCCCGGTTTGTTGTGCGACTCTTGTTATCAAGTGATTTAAATTTTGTTGAGTCTTTTTTAGAAAAATGGAAAATCACAAAAAGATTGATTCAGTCATAGAAGAAAGCAATCCAGAATATCTTGAAGTCCCTCTTCCAATGGATAGATGGGTTCCGACAAATGGAGATTCAACAGACCCAATTCAAAATGAACTTTACAAGATACAACGATGGATGGTTATGTGCTGATTTTTGAAAAGAAACCTGAGGATTTTTCATGGATAGCTTGCGAGCTATGCCACTTCTTCCTCTCCTTGTCTAGGAAAGCTTACGAGCTTCTCCGCTCTTTGTTTCGGCTTCTAATCTATTTCTTCTACCCGCAAGTGACCACCCCACTTGTATCCTTCTTCTCAAACAAGGAAATGCAAGTTTAGGTGTCTTTATTGTGTCATTTGTAAGTGTCTAAGTTTGTAAGTCTTTTATATTATTAAAGTGAAGTTGTTTTCAATTTAAGTGTCATTTTATGTTGTAATTTTGGTACTTCATGTAATCTTCTAATTTATAGGAAGAGTCTCTTTTGCTTGCAGAAATTTGGGGCCCTTCCCAAATTTTTGCTTGCATCAATTTGGTATCAAAGCGGGTTAGCAAATCCCAGTTTGTCGAGTGAGTCTTGGTGAGTCATACCAATTGTCGTGTTTGTTGTGTGAGCTTGTTATCAAGTGATTTAAATTTTGTTGAGCCTTCTTTTAGAAAAAAAAATGGAAAAAGATAAAAAATAGTGATCCAGTGAAAGAATGCAAGACAGAAGATCTTGAAGTCCCTCTTCCGATGGACAGATGGGTTCCGACAGATGGAGATTCAACAGACCCAATTCAAAATGAACTTTACAAGATACAACGATGGATGTGCTTATGTGATGACAAATTAGAGAAAATGAAGAAATTTCTGCAAGCCCAATTCAAGCTGGAGCAAGAGAAGATCCTGAAGAAGTACGAAGCAAAAATTCAAGAGCTTGAAGCACCTACTTTGTCTCCTCGGAAAAATCGAAAGCTTCCTCATCAGGAGCTGAGCATTTTCAACCGGAGGAGAATTGATGTAGGCAAAGGGGGGCTCAATTCATCTTGATCCTCTTGTCCTTGGGCTGCTTGCTGTTCTCAGATTGTGGTTGTTTGCTGCTCTCAGATTGGGCTTTGGCTGCTTGGTGTTGAGCTTAAAAATTTGGTATCATAGCGGATTAGCAAATCTCGGTTTGTTGTGTGAGTCTTGTTATCAAGTGATTTAAGTTTTGTTCAGTCTTTTTTAGAAAAATGAAAAATCACAAAAAGATTGATTCAATCATAGAAGAATGCAATACATAAGATCTTGAAGTCCCTCTTACAATGGACAGATGGAGATTCAACAGACTCAATTCAAAATGAACTTTACAAGATACAACGATGGATGGTTATGTGCTGATTTTTGAAAAGAAACCTGAGGGTTTTTCTTGGATAGCTTGCGAGCTATGCCACTTCTTCCTCTCCTTGTCTAGGAAAGCTTGCGAGCTTCTCCGCTCTTCGTCTCGGCTTCTATATATTTCTTCTACCCGCAAGTGACCACCCCACCTGTATCCTTCTTCTCAAACAAGAAAATGCAAGTTTAGATGTCTTTATTGTGTCATTTGTAAGTGTCTAAGTTTGTAAGTCTTTTATATTATTAAAGTGAAGTTGTTTTCAATTTAAGTGTCATTTTATATTGTAATTTTGGTACTTCATGTAATCTTCTAATTTATAGGAAGTCTCTTTTGCTTGCAAAAATTTGGGGCCCTTCCCAAATTTTTGCTTGCATCACAAAGAAACACAATCTTTAAAAAAATCTTAATTAAATCAGTAATGGTAAGATGAGTGATGCAAGTTGGCAAGTCGCTGAAAAGAAAATAATCACAACAAATTGGCAAGCAGGAAATTGATGAGCGAGTGGGAACATAATCGAGTGCAAGGAGATAGAAAACTGGCTATCTCATAGAACTATAATAATATTTGCATGACAACTGCATATTATTTGAATTCTCAATTTCATTACGATAAAGATTTTTCATGTAGATATGAAGGAAAAGAGTAGTTTATACGCATGAATGGATAAACTTGTCCATGAGGCTGACTATCTGATGTAGACAAGGGGGGGTCAACTCATGTCAAAAATAATTAGATTTTTGGCTTCCCTTGAGTCTACTATTTGAGCTGAAATTTTAGCTCATTTATGAGCTCATCTTTAGTTCACTTATTAAACTAAGGGTTAGCTCATTATTAGCTATGATTTTAGTTCATAGTTGTCTTTTTATTAAATGTATTTAAGTACGAAGCAAAAATTCAAAAGCTTGAAGCACCTACTTTGTCTCCTCGGAAAAATCGAAAGCTTCCTCATCAGGAGCTGAGCATTTTCAACCGGAGGAGAATTGATGTAGGCAGGGGGGTCAATTCATCTTGATCCTCTTGTCCTTAGGCTGCTTGCTGTTTTCAAATTGTAGTCGTTTGCTGCTCTCGGATTGGGCTTTGGCTGTTTGGTGTTGAGCTTAAAAATTTGGTATCAGAGTGGATTAGCAAATCCCGGTTTGTTGTGTGTCTTGTTATCAAGTGATTTAAGTTTTGTTGAGTCTCTTTTAGAAAAATGAAAAATCACAAAAAGATTGATTCAATCATAGAAGAATGCAATCCAGAAGATCTTGAAGTCCCTCTTACAATGGACAGATGGGTTCCGACAGATGGAGATTCAACAGACCCAATTCAAAATGAACTTTACAAGATACAACGATGGATGGTTATGTACTGATTTTTGAAAATAAACCTGAGGGTTTTTCTTTGATAGCTTGCGAGCTATGCCACTTCTTCCTCTCCCTGTCTAGGAAAGCTTGCGAGCTTCTCCACTCTTCGTCTCGACTTCTAATCTATTTCTTCTACCCGCAAGTGACCACCCCACCTGTATCCTTCTCAAACAAGGAAATGCAAGTTTAGGTGTCTTTATTGTGTCATTTGTAAGTGTCTAAGTTTGTAAGTCTTTTATATTATTAAAGTGAAGTTGTTTTCAATTTAAGTGTCATTTTATGTTGTAATTTTGGTACTTCATGTAATCTTCTAATTTATAGGAAGAGTCTCTTTTGCTTGCAAAAATTTGGGGCCTTTCTCAAATTTTTGCTTGCAAGAACTTGCCATGATATTTTTTAGGATTGAACTTTTTTTACCCCCTTGATTCTTTCTTCTCGGGCTTCTAACCTCTTTCGTCTCTCCGCAAGTGCCACTCCACATGTATCCTTCTTCTCTAAATGCAGCAACTTTAGGGTATCTTTGAGATCGAGTCGAGTTTGTGTTTTTAATTTCTTTTTATTTCTTAATTTGAAATGTAAGAGTTTGTTCATTCCTCTTCCTCATCTTTAGTCATTTTCGTCGGTAGAAGTCCGTATGTCTTTTGTGATCAAGAGATATAGGGTCCCTTATATTTTTTAGTCGCATCACTATCTTAAAGCAAATGATCAACTGTATGATGACTTCCATTTAAAAAATGGAATATTTAGATTTAGAGCAACTCAAACAAACAAACAAGACATGCACTCTTAATAAAATTGCATTCATTTATAATTTTAAATCTAAAAGTTTATGCCTAAGTGTTCAACCTTAATTATATAAACAATTTCCTTTTCATTCTATTTTAAAACATTAGTGGGCACAATTTAGCGATGATGTGCTTGAGCTTAAGGCACTTGCAATGAAAGTTCTTAATCTTACTTGTTCAAATTCTGCATGTGAGCACACATTCAACCAAATTCATACAAAGAAAAGAATCGAATTGGTTACAGAACGAATAAACAAATTGGCTTAAACAATTTGGCTTCAACAAATGAAACTTGGAAAATAAACACCTCAAATTACATAAATAAATAAATGATGATAATGAAATAAAACTTTTAATTGTTGATAATACGCTATCTGACAATGAATTAATGACGCTAAAAAATCGTGAAAGATATAAAATTGAAAAAGAAGAAATAGCCCTCTAGAATAAGGAGAAATAAGATCTCAATGCTAACATTGAAATGGCAACTAAATTAGAAGCAATTTCTACTTCACAACCATTTAAAAGCTATGATGCACCTCCACTTCTCAAAGAGGTATGCAATGTACGACACGTATGAAACACGACATGCATCCGGCATGTCTCTTACATATGTCGAACACGTTGAAGATGTATTCAATTAAAAAAATATTAAAAATAAATTGTTCATGCACAACTAAAATACTTTATGAAAAATTTTTATTTCATCTCCATAGCCCCAAATCAATTGCCCGCACTCAACACCTCATTCCCTGAACATTCTAATTTTCATATCTATCTAGTAGTTTGCAGCTAATACTTCATAATAACGATTAAAGTCATTTCAATATTGACATTCAATGTTGTCATAACATCAATATGTTAAAACCATCTTAAAATCAAAGTCTTAATATGTGTTGACATTGACGCTAGATGCTAGCAGTTTCTAAACCCACAATCATGCCCACGTGTCATCTGGACATCCCAACTTTATCGAATGTCATCTTAACATCGAATACCGACATCATCTTGATCTCAATGCTCAATGTCTATTACACAACAATGATGCCAAACAATCAAGACCATAGTCGCCGCCCTTCTCGACGCCTAACACGGCATCGACACTTGACTCTCGACATCCTAATATTAATTATTTTAAGCACAAATCCTTCTTAAATTATTTTTTTATTTCTCAATTATTTTAAATATTTTGCTTATTAAATTTTATACACCATATTTAATAAATTAAAATTATAATATTTTGTCTAACACGTGTCTGTGTCCTACATTTTCAATAATTGATCTGTTTTGTGTCCGTGTGATGTCGTATCCATGTCATTGTGTTTGTATCTATGCATTATAGTTTAAAAAAAAAAGAAGCAAAGTAGAGCAAGAGCTTCAAGAATTAAAAATAATAATAAGTATAATGAAATACATTATTGTGTCAAAAAGTTATTATTTTACTTTAGATTATATTGAATCAAATGTTATTAGATACAAAGAGTAAGAGAAAAAAATGTAATAATTGAAGAATATTATGAAGATTATGATGAGATAGAATATGAGGATGACGAAATTATTACATATGAAGACACTTGTTAAGAAAATGCAAGTGAGGATGAGATCATCGTATATCTTGATCCTTATGGCGTGTTTAAACATTAAGTAATCACATTTCAAACTTTCATTTTATAATAACATTTAATATTGAGATTAATAATTTATGATCTTAAGATGATGAATCAAGAAAGTATGTTAATGGCTTATTTCATTTGTCATTTTTATGAATTATTTATAATTTTATGATTATTTTATTTTTTTTATTTTAAGGTTTATGGCAATATGCCTTGAGGTTTATGTCTCACCTCACAAAGGCAAAATATCTTGATTCCCGATTTCAATTTTTTTAAATCATGGTTTATCATCATCGACATGAAAAGTGATTGTCATTTTGACAGTACTTTGAAGTTGAGTGAATCGTGGTTCATGTTATCGATTAGTTACAAGTAATTATTAGTTCAATAACTAAATCCATTGCAAAAAACCAAGTCAATCATTCCATGTGACCTTGGACTCATTTGATGTCACATATATGGACAAAATTCATCCTACGATCAAAGGCCCTCATCAAATTCACCCTTTATTTTTTTATAAAGCAAAATATTACAATAAGAAAATGAAATTAGTTTATTAAATGCAATAAGTAAAAATTGTCAAAGAAAAAAGAAAAGTACACAACAAAACATACATATAGCATGAAAAGTACACAACAAAATATCTATATAGCATGAAAGCCTATGTAGAATTTGCCAAAGAAAAAAAATCGCATAACAAAATATACCTATATCATAAAAGCCTATGATACTAAGTCACTAAAAACATTAAAAAAAAACTCCAAAATAACTCATTTAAATCTAATTGTTAAAAGCTTGGTGAAAACCGGGAATTGATGATGGACTTCTTATCCACTAGAGAGTCAACGCTTTAAGTGCTCTCAACTAAATCATAAGACTAGAGAGCATCCTAATCATCGTTTTCTTCACCAGTTGGAATGAGGTGCGACGTTACAGCAATAGTGTTAGTCTTTAATCCTTAAGAAAAATCTAAAATTGGTTCAAAATTCTAGTAAAATATGATCTATTAGAGTAGTCGCTATCTAAAAACTGGAGGGACTGATCTGATTATTTGACTATACCTCTTAGCCCGATAATTAGATTTACACAACCCTGAATGTGCCTTCAAACAATCAACAAAATTATATCAAAGAATTTTGTAAGAACAGTGTTTTGGGATTCCTTCAAATTTAACACCTGTCAATATCAACAAGTCAAGAAGCCAATGCATCCTCCTCTAATTCATAAGTAATACCTAGTTCAATCAAGATTCTTTCCATATAAGGCTTTGAAAGATAAAGCACTATCTACTTGCAAATGTTTGTCAATTATAAAGTAGCGAGAATATAAAGTGGATTGGTCAAAATAGTATAAAAGAAGTGAAGGAAATGCAATTCAAACAAGAGTGACCAGTGGTTCATCAAAAGAGGCAAAATAGGATAAACATTCTATTCGACAGGCTTTCGCCTGTGAGGCAGAACAGGCTTCCACATGTTTAATTGAGGTCGGGCCCAGTAGTTCATCAGCAATTAAGGCCACCAATTAAGAGGAAATTAAAGAAGGGATTAGGAGAAAAAATCAAATTATGAGGGCTATTTTGGCATTAACTATATTTAGTATGCTTTAAATACATTGTTTAACCTAGGGTTAGGTTTTATAAGGGTATTTGCTGAAATTTGGAGTGTTCTTAGGTAGTTTTGGGCTCTAGCTACAAGCTAGAGAATTGGGAAGCCAAATCCTACTCTCCAATTGAAGATCCACTGTATCTTGTGATTTTCTTCTTTATTTCATCAATTGTAAAGAGTTTTCTTCCATTATTTCTCTTAAATACGTCTTCGATATTGGGTTTGGGGTGTTGATATTCAATTTTAGCCAAGGGAGAATTAATTTCTACAGTTATTTCCTATCACATTCTATCACGCAAACTACTAATAGGAAAAAATCTAAAAGAAAATTTTAGTGTAGTCTGCATTTGAAGAAAGTTTAGTAATAACATGACAATGGTCAATAAACATAACGGAATGGTCACCAGCCAAATTTAAATAAGATTAAAATTTGCATATAATCTCCATGTTGGGGCAAGCCAATGAGAATTTGCCAACAATAAGAGGAAAGAGAGATCTAAAAAGCTTTAAGATCTTCTCTTCAGTGAGAATAAGGATGGGAATATTGATTCAAAATAACTTTAGGGTTTTTAGTGTGCCAATAATGTTTTGATCACATTCATTTCGCCATATATGAGCCTCATTCAGGCATATCGCCGGTGTAGAGAAAGAAATTCAATTTGAATATTCTCATGCACGTCAAAAATTTGTTAAATGTGACCAAAAGATTACAAATTGCAAGGATAGAAGTAAGCTTCAAATCTAAGAGCTGGTCAAAGTGGGTGAACTACCATTACGAATAAGGACACATATCACTATTTACAGGGGGAGAGCATAAATTCAAAGAAAAAAAAAACAAAAATTGATGCAGTATGAGAATAATACATTCTAAACATGAAAATATGAGTCAATAAAACTGAGAATAACATTGATACCAGAATAAAAATAACAGTCATTTGACCCATCATATAGAGATAATCCAACCAGTTCATCTGCAGCTGCATAAGAATGGACAATATCCAGGAACACAAGAAGACCAAGGCCTAGACATAGTAAACAATTAGAATGATTAAATCAGGACTAAATAAAAAATAAATAGACAATTACACAATTTCTAGAGAGCGTGGATGAATACAGATGCTAAATAAAAAATCCAAGTATGAAAATCTAAAGGATTCTGACTTGGAAAATTTTCAATATTTAGAAGCATTGCCTAAAAATATCTTATTTAGAACTTTTTTTACCATGTATCAAATCAAAAAATAATAATAATTGCTACAGTTAGTAAAGTAAATGAAAGTGGTAATCAGACATAAAAGTTTGAGAAAGTTGCGGAGCAATCACAATAACATCCCTTAAGTTCAATAATCACATTAGCTGCCCCTAAAATCATGAAGAGCAACAGATAGGCACCTAAAGTTCTGCAAGAACTAAGTTCTCTTGCGACATTTTCTAAAGTATCATCAATCATGTGGAAAAAAACCAGATTGCCCTAAATTGTAATGTATATTTATCCAAAATAAGTTTTAATTTTGTCAAGCTATCATTTAAATTCTCCAAGCATCAACAATGAGTGCACTATCGTTGTTGTGATCAGGAATGACAATGATAAACCGATTACCAGAATCTACTATAACCCAAACCATACAATAATTTCCACGATGGAAATGAACAAATGAAGCAATCATATAGGGGAAATGTTGTCTTCGGAATGGCTGCAACGAGATAATTAGCAAAGGAACCAATATAAATAACAATGTACAATTTAGTCTACCCATTTTTTAGGTGCCAACTGTACTTTCTCTACAACAATTACAACAACAACATCAAGCCTTTATCCTACTACGTGGGGGTTGGCTACATAAATCCTTTTTCTCCATTATGTACTATTAAGAGTCAAATTCTCATTTAAATCATATAAATAAAGGTCATTTCTAATATTCTCTAACCAAGTCTTCTTAGGTCTATCTCTACCTTTCTTAACATAAGCCAAATTAATACATCAACTTTCCTAATCGGGTCATCAGAAGGCCGTTGTTTTATGTGACCAAACCATATAAGGAGACTCCCTCTAATCTTATCTTCCACTGGAGCTACTCCAACTTTTTCATGTATATGCTCATTTCATATCCTATCTCTAAGAGTAATTCCACTCATCCACCTGAGCATCCTCATCTCCGTGACACTTAACTTAATATTATGCTTCTTTTTTAATGGCCAATATTTTGCACCATAAAGCATTGCAGGCCTATCCACCATCTTATAGAATTTTCCCTTAAGTTTGAGGGGGACTTTTCTATCACACAACAAGCCTGATGCGCTCCAATCGTCCAACTTGAATTCTGCAAATAATAGACCCAAGATATTTAAAACGTGTAATCTTATTAATGACTTGATCGACCAAAGTCACAATCCCCCCACTAGATCTATTACTACTAAAATTACATTCCATATATTCATTTTTAGATCTACTCAAACAAAAACCTTTAGACTCTAAGGTAGACCTTCGTAATTCAAGTTTACCTTCAACTCCCTCTCTAGTCTTATCAACAAGAAAAATATCATTGGCAAAAAGCATACACCGAGGTACAACCTTTTGCAAATGTCTAGTGAGAACATCCATGACTAAAGCAAAAATGTATGGGCTTAAGGCTGATCCTTGATGTAATCCAACAGAAATAGGAAAATACTTGGTCAAACCACCTAATGTTTTAACACAAGTAACAACTCCTATGTACATATCCTTAATGACTTGAATATAAACAATATTAACCCTTTTTTTTCTAGAACTCTCCATAGCACTTCTTTTCGAACTTTATCATATGTTTTCCCTAAATCAAAAAATATCATATAAAGATCCACCTTATTATCTCTATAATTCTCTATCAAACCTCTCAATAAATGTTTAGCTTCCTTAGTAGATATACCCGGCATGAATCCAAATTGATTTTGAGAAACATTAGTATCATGCCGTAACCTATGCTCCATAAATTTCTTCCATAGTTTTAAAGTATGACACATGAACTTAATTCCTCTATAATTTGCACAATCTTGTGCATCACCTTTATTCTTAAAAATAGGAAACAACGCGCTAATTATCCACTCATATAGCATTTTTTAGACTTCAAAATAATATTAAAAAGTTTATTACGTCAAGAAATTCCTTCATCTTTTAAGTGTTTCCACACCTCTATTGGAATATCATCAGGTCCAACAGTTTTTCCACACTTTTTTTAAACCTCTCCAACTTCAGTTTTACTAATACACCGATAATAACAAAAATCTTTATTTTCATTTAAGATGCTCAGGTCACTAAATTCAATCGTATTCTCACAATCTTTATTGAAAAGTTTAGCAAATATCTCATCCGCCTTTGTTGAATATCTTCTTCTAAAAAACACAAATTTGATTTTCATTCTTAATGCACTCCACTTGAATTAAGTATTTAATACTCATATCTCTTTGTTTTGCTAACTTCTACATATATCTTTCGCCCTCCTTAGTATTTAATCTATTATATAAATCATTAAAAGCTAAAATTTTTGCATCATATATTGTTTTATTAGACTCCTTACTGACCTCTTTATATCTTTCTCAATTATCAATATTTTTACACAAACCAATTTATATAACAAATCTTCTTATTTTTTATCTTCTCTTGTACATTTAGATTCCACCACCCATCTTTTGCAATATTCTTAATATCACTCACTACTTTTCCCACATAATATTAGCTTCCTCATGCACAAACAAAATCTTAAAAGCTAGAATCTTACTCTCAAAAATATTTTTTATTAATATTTTTTAAATGCCCCCAGGGCTGTTTGCTTTATTGCTCCTTGGTGCCGTGAGTTACCAATGTTTCCTTCAGAATTAATGTGGGGATTTCCGAAATGGGGTGCTTTTTCCCGTTACTGTGCTGCTTTGGAAATTCCGCCTGTTTGCTGGTGCCTTGGTTCCGTGAGCTGCTGGGTTGTTTTTTCCAAAAAAGGCTTTTGGAAAACCTATGGGAAATAATGCTTGGAATGATGTGGCTTTTATCATTCCATTTATGGGGAGTCTTGGAGCTGTTTGGTGGCAGTTTTGGGGAGAATTCCAAGAGTCTTTCCATTGTTTTCAGTGCAGTTTTTCTGCTGAATTTTTCATTGTTTCTGGCCGGATTTATGGACTTTTGGGCTGCTGTTTTGGACAGCTGGTTGGGCTGTTTTGGGCTGTTCATTAGTGGTCTCTTGACCTTCTATATTCTCTTTTAAGTGATTGTTTAGTTCCCCTCTATTGCCTATATATATGAGATGTTTGGGTTATGTTAAAA